CCCCACATGCTGATAAACTTCATGCTGACAGACTGAAGGGGCTGAACATAAACAAGCCCTGAAAGTTTGGATTTCAGTTTTACCATTTACTGCATTGGCAACTGATGTGTCTCCCAATCACTTTACCAGAGCACCAGTGGCCTGTTGTACAGGAGTATAAACCCAGCCCTCAATCTAAACACACTGAAGTATTTTATAAAAGTGGTGTTTATAGTGATGGCAGGTTATTGATACTTAGAGGAGCATCACAGCTAGAGGCATAATGGCACTTGTTTGGGGTTGTGGCAAATACAGTCTATGGCCCCAGGCTTCAACACCGCTTTGAAAGACAGAGGACAGTTATTAGCTTTGAAGATCTTATAATTTGCCTCCAAGGAAAACAGAGTCTTGTTTTGCTAGATAGGAGCTTTGAAGATTAAAAAAAAAAAACCACAAAAAAACCCTACTCCCCCAAACAAACAGCCTCCCTCCCCAAACCAAAGCAACTCACCCCACACAGGTTTAAAGGCTCACTTTCTGAAATGTTAAAATGTTCATGAAACACACATTAGTTTTGCCATTCTCTGGGAAAGACATACAGAATCTCCTGAAAACTTAGATCCCATAGGAAAAAATGGTTTGGTGTGTAAAATCAGATTTAGGGGTTTCAGTCTAATTTTTATCTGGAAAACCTTTATGAAAATACACAGTCTAGCTACCAATCATCTTTCTATTGTCCCCATGGAACAAAGAAATATAAGCCTTGAGAACAGTTCAGTTCAGCTGTGCAGCCTATGCCAGCATGGAAGAACCACAGTGAGAAGCAAGGGCTGAGCAGAAGGCTCTTGCAAAGGTCATTCGAGGTAACTGATTAACTCAGGAGCAAGCAGGAAAGGAAGAGCTATTCTTATGCCCATTCAATATTCAGCAGTATCAGATGAAAAGCCTAGACAGCTGGTGTCCTATGATGCACATTATTCACAAGTTTTCACAAACGTTATTTTCCCTTCCACCCTCCAGGGTTTTAAAGAGGGTATACAAGTGGTACCTTGTTCATGACAGATCTTCCCTGAGTACATCTCTTCACTTTGTCTGTGAACTGCTTAAAACAGTTTTCCCCCAAAATTTTCACTTGGGTTGCAGTAGTAGCATTTATACCATATTGTTACTATGTCACAATAGCACAAATCTTAGTGAATTCAAGATAAATTACATCTACCACTTCTCTTTTACATGTAAGATCTACACCCTTGTACAGAAAGACATTAGATTGACTAGAATCTATACTTTTTTTTTAACATCTCACCTCTTTGCTTGGTAATTTTGTTTCAGGATTTTTTTTAAACCATGGGTCTGAAATTCCTCAGCTCACACTTTTGAAAACCAGAATCTGAGTGCACACKTGGCAAATTCTGAAAGACAGCTCTTAAAATTGCCTAGATTATGTACTCTGTAATCTTGCAAGACCCAGCCTCTTCAACATCATCTAAACAACAGAATCTTTCCCTACCCCTTTCCTTTGCAGCTGTAGCTTGCACTATGGTGGGTTGTTAATCTGACGGTTGTCTTGTTCTTACTAGAAGGGACATTGAGCTTATTTTTGCTTCTAAGTGAATTGAAGTACAATAGATGAAATGCATAAGCTTAAGGCAGTATCTTTGAAGTCACGTACAAGCATTACAGAGATTCCTCAGCACCATGCTTTCTATTTTAGAAATGAAGTTATGATTCTAAAGTATTTTCTGCAAAACATCAGCAGATTCCCACAATGAACTCTGAAACCCTTGAAAAGGAGGAAAGAAAAAAGAAAGGAAAAAGAAAAGGAACATCTAATAAGCCCTTTAAGAGAGCACAATAAATAATACTGCCTATAATAACAGTGTGGCACAAAATACACATTTTAAAACCAGTATCAATGAATAATGCGCTTACCATTCAAACAGGAGGCATGCATGAAAGTCACACTTGAGTATTCTCCAAAGGAATATGTCTAGACATTTGAAATATAGTTTCTTGGCCTCTCTCACCAGCTGAAGCCTAAGTATGATATATCTGTCAACAAACATGGCAGCAAATATTAACTGTGTGATTCATTGATGGTTTTGCTACAATTCATTTAATGATGACCACGTATATTTTAATAATCTCAGTGAATTCAATTAAACCCATTCCTATTGTGTGAAGGAACTATACCAAATACATTGCAAGAAGAGAGAGAAACGGAGATTACAGAAAAGTTCCCAGTCAGCAAATTTCAGAATTAATTTCTTGTGCCTTATGTATTGTTAATACAAGTAATTTTATAACAAAAGATGAAATTTTATTATTAGTTGTTCACTTCAGCTTGCTAGTTTATAAACATTTTATATTTTTCTGATTAATTAAAAAATGGATGGGCTACATAAAACAGAAGATAACACAACCGCTCATATTATTAGCAGCAAACGGAAGGAAAAACCTGAACGAGTAAAGTCTCCTACCATTGGAAACCTAGCCCTTTATTCAAACAATAAATTTTGTCAATGACAATAGAAGTGGAAAAATAATTGGACAAAATAACAAGATGAAGCACATGGCTCAAAAGCAATGTTGGTTTTTTAAAAAAGCATCTGCTGCATTACCTGTCACATCAAGATCAAGAGAGCCGAGTACCTTCCTGTCAACCAGTTTGTCATTTCAAAGGTGTGCAATACACTACAAAATCCACCATMCTAGCCCAAATAACACAAGAGTGAAAATAGGTGCAAGTTTTGCAAGGCCTACTTTGTATTGAACTCAAGTACTTTATCATGAGCTTGACCTAAAATGTGCAGCCAGTGGAGACAATTCTGGACATTCTCCAGCAGCTTCAGCTAAATTAGATATGAACATGAATAAGGCCCTGGGGYCCTGCATTCTCTGGGATGCCACAGGCACAGGATTCACAGAGAATCCACCCTTGCTACAGAACTGTGTTCCAGATTTTAATTAACCAAGTTCCCTTGGTTAAGCTTTTACTGTGAAAGCCTCCCACAGTAAAAACACTCTTTAAAAATGTTATGCTGAAGCAGATGAAAATWAACTTAGCTGATGAATCCTCAAAAACTTTCTTGGAAAGACCGTAATTTCAAGGACTAGAATCATTCATTCCAGATACATGGTTCATGAACTCAAAAGCATCGCATCCAAGTACTGTGTGTTCTCATCTTTCCTAACTGCCATATGCTGTTCAGTCATTTCATTTTATATGCACCCTCATGGCTCCAGGCTTCATGAGAAGATGGCTCTTTGCCACCTAATCAAATTCACACATCAAATATGTTTCAAGTGAGGCCTTTTGTACAACTGTATCCTCCTTTAGTTTTTCTTCCTTTCTTGAGYATTTGCATATCAGTACAAACTTATACTACCAAAAGGTTCATAATTTTCAGGTATAAGACACTCATCCTACAATTAAGCAAACACAGTACAAGCAGTTCTATCCCGCTCTAAAAATACAATTCAGCGCCTTGGAACTTCACAGTATACTCACAGAATCCTTAATATCCCTTTTGGTTCTATTTTGGGTCTCTCCTTCCATAGACACATCTGTTCTTTGAACAGAACACATCTACATCCTCTGCCTCCATAGAAGCAATTAAAATAATGCATCTTTACTTCTGCAACMAAGTGACAGCTTTTGCTGTACTGCACAGAGCTCGAAGAGGTGCCTAAACTGGGATGCCTTCTAACTCTCTCTAACTGGATATGGACAAAACTGAATTATCATGGATCAGCTCATCATGATGTAGGCTCATGGCCATTGCCTTTCATGAATTTAAAATCTGAGAGCTGCTTTTGATTCTCTGAAGCACCCTTTTTATCAGATGGAAACTTCTCATATCTGTAGCTGTGGTATTTCTCCAAGCCACTGTGACCTACATTGCCTAACTGGSCTGGTTAAATGTTTCACACGCTTTTATCACATTCTACTGCCACAATTTCTGCAACTCTGTACTTGCTGCATTACCTGTCACATCCATTAAATGCATGCATAAGCACACGTCTGTCTGAACGCACARCAGGGTCAGGGATAGCCTGACAGTGATGGAATGTTGCTTCTCAAACCTAAACAATTCCTCAACTAAAAAAATACTACTTTTTTTTTTTACATGGACAATCTCTTCAGCTTATTCCTTCTCGAAGACATTTTATAGATATCAGGATGGATACAAGAAACAAGGTCATCTACATTAAGAGTGACTAAATCCTTCACTTTACACCTTTTTCTCTAAAGAAGGAACAGTGTAGTAATTTTTAATATTGCCTTCAACAGCGATGGGAAAAAACCCTCACCCTGTTTAGATCTGTAAGATAAACAAAGCTGCTGAGCATGAACGTTTTAGGGACACCTAAAAATGGTTTTGTAATCTATACTAAAAATCAGCTATCTCATACCAGCTATTATAAGATMCCACATTTGGAAGAATATGATTTGAAATATTTTTATAGAAGAGCAAGAGCAGAAGAGTGATGAAATATAACACTGCAGATGTAGGACAGAATAGTAATATTCATAGTAGCATTTATTAAATTGCTTAGAAAAGCTACATGTAAACTGTGGTATTTTAAAATGGCATTTATTATTTTTCTGTCTAAGAAGACTACAGCCAAACAGCCTGCACAGCTCACCTTCCATGCTACAGTAAGTCATCTCTGCAGATTAAAGAAGGGTTATCCCAGAGAACACAGTGACCCAGAAGCCAAAGATAAAGTGTTTATAATTTGTTCCAGAAAYCACCCATTTAGCTACATATAGTTCTTTATATTTACAGTCCCTTCTACTGCTCTGCTGGGAGTAGTAACCTGAATATGCTAAAAACACAGCGGGAACCTGCTAAAAATGGACTAAAATTACTCCTGTATATCATAGCTGCAATGATTTTAACAAGTGCTGCACAGGCACAGTATGAGTAATATCATTTATAATCAATTAAGCTAATAATCCTTATCCCACGTCCATATCCCTTCTTCCCCAAGGACAGATAAAAGACAACTCCTAGTGATTTTTTAGACACTACTGTGTGAGCCTTTTTAATAGACCATGTCCTATGACTCAGAACACATTGTGACAATTTTCAAGCTGTTTTGAAAATATGAAAGACAAAATCAAATAAGTGGATATTTGCAGAAAGACCCGAGTTGACAATATTAAAAAAAWTTAAAGGTCTGCCACTTAATATAATTTTCTCWATAATCAGAGCTAGATTATCTGTACTCTAAAACAAGAATTCAGCTTACAAGCCTAAGGGAGTTCCTYAAAGCATTAAAAATAACTCCAAACCAACATACAAGCTGCACATGAACCCCTCAGAAAAACATTGTGGTTTTTCCAACAATAACAGGAAGGTGTTCTACAAGGCACTCTCTATTCTTTTCTCTTTTGATAAAAAGGCTACACAATCCCACCTGTCTGCCCCAGAGCAACCAAGACTATTTCCTGCTTCCACAATCGGTGCTTTATGATACCAAACTGACAAAAGCACCACTGAGTATCTTGAGCTTTACACACTAATTGCACCCTCTTGGCCTGATTTAAATTAGGAGCCTCGTTAACACTCACCCTTGCTCCTCACCACTGATGGGATTCAGATGGAAACCTGAAGCCATGCTGATTAGAGTAGGCAAGGGTAGGCACGAACAGGAGCAAATCCTTCCATGTTCAAAGTACATAAGAGATCTTACTGACAAATTTTGGCCTTAYTTTTTTTCAGAATGAGGCAGTTGCATTGGGGGTGCTGCAGAAAACAAATTTGGATTGAAGCAAGCAGAACGGAYACTTACGTGATTTAATGTAATGGCTACCTAATGCCAGTGCTCTGAATTTCTCACTTAAAAATGCTTTGTTATCTTGCCAACAAAGAATTGAAACTTAAAATYATCCAGGAAGCCGAGTACACAAAACCTATTCCTGAAAGTCCCTTTAGACTGTGTTTTAGGCATTAAGTGCATTTTTCTAAGACAAAAACTATACACACAACTAATCATTAGAAGAATTAAGAAAAACTGTTAAAGGAAGAAAATTTAAAGAATTCTAGATGCCAATTTTGCACAGAAGCAGGTTTGTTTTTATGTTTATTTTCCAATGTCACGTACCTCAAGTGACTTTATGCTTGGAACAAAAGAGCATGGAGGAACAACACTGCGTCAGTTCTAACAGTCTGGACTGAGCTACTGCTTCATGCTGACAAAAGCAAATCCTATGGGGAAAGCAGTGAGGCAGAAGCAGCAGACTAGAAAGATATATCGACGTGCTTCACCTACTGGAACTATGGAAAAAGTACTGTATAAGGTCAGAAAAAGGGTCAGCTTTGTTTGTTATTCTTTCTGACTAGACAGTAGCAAAGTGTGTAAGAATAAATGATTCCTAAACTGTTAATATCTCTTTATTTTAACAGTTAGACATAGTTAGCAGTCAAGGATATTTCTGAGTGGAGACTTAATTTAAACTAGCATTTTAAAATAACATGTTCCACATATAAGTCAAATCTTTTTGACCCCATGACCCTGAAAAATGTCTCATGGCAGTGAATTCCACTACTACATTACACAGTGTAATGGAATAGAAGTTTGAAACTTACTGTCTAATCACTTCGTTGAAACCTTAATTCTTATAAGCTCCCAAATTTTTCCAAACCAAAGTATGGAAAATGTCAAGCTGGTCCTCTGTCCCATTTTAGTTTTCTATCTTTTTTTAACACCAGCACAGAATATGGTATTTGAAAAGAAGACAACCCCTGATTTTAAGTAGTGGCACAATCCTTTTGTTTATTTTGGTCTGGCTTTTTTTGACTGCCATTAAGCCCTAGCCTAACATTTGAAGAAAAGCATGCTGGCAGCAATACTTGCTTTCTTGGTAGAGTTTAGAACTCCTCAAGCTTCATTATTGCACACATGGTGTAGGGAGATTAGCATTTATTAATGCTAAGTTACGCCTGGCAGTTTAGCTCTCAGCTATTAAGAGATCTTCCCAAAATTTAGAAAAGGAAGCTTCAGATTTAATATATTGTACTTTCAGCAAAAAGTCAGTCTTAAAAACATTCCCTGTACTACTGAGTCCAGGATCTTTCTGTATCTAGTGCCCAATATTCCTTCCTATTCTGGTGAGTTGAGTAGCTTGCACATAAAAACTTGTATTACTTTATTCTTGTTTTAGAATTCTCATGTTTAAGGAGCAACAGAAGGCACCAGAATGACCTTCTGAATGTCATTACATTAGCTTAGAGGGTGTTTGTGTGTTTCTTTGCTTTGCACCCAGTTATATATTTGAATGTAAATTGGTATTAATTAAGAATACATAATGGTATATTTGGATTTACATTATCTATATCTGGCAGAAAATCAAGTCCTGATGAGCAAACAGGAAGAACTGAAAATGGAAAGATGCTACCTTGTCTCTTCTTCCAAGTGTGAACTTGTGAATGTATTTTATACTGTGCTTCCTRAAAGTGAAGAGTTTATACTACACAACAATATAAAATGGGTACCACCATCACCACRTGTATGTGGTTTTGGGAACCACCACAGCTACAAGAAACCATGACTAGAACCCTACAGAGATCGAAGGACAGACCCTATTTAAAACATCTGAACAGCTTTATGTGCAAAATAGGTAGCAACACACTTTGCTTAGAGACTGTGACAGTTCCAAGTATACATGAAAGCTGATTTTTAGGCACATAGGAAACTGCCTTTTGGATTTTGCCAACAGGTTCAGATGCCTGTGAACACACTCCTGTGACCCAGTTTAGATACAAGTATATTCAAAACCCTGTGGATAACCCTAACTATCATGTTAGGCACTCAACTGCAGTCAAGAGAAACAGTGCTGGTGTGACAATAATTTATTATTACTGCACGAACAGTTAGAACACAATGCTTAAAGCTGCCATTCCCTATGCAGATGAACTAGTGCAAGATTCATATTCCACTTGAGTACAACTAAAGCACTGCTTCCAAACAGGCAATAAACAAACCAATATATAAAGCATCACCAGTACTAACAGTCATCCTAAGAGGAACTCCTCTCAGGAATAAAGCCTTGGGAAATTCTCTCATTAAACACTCTGCTGCTAGGATTTGGGTATAGATACTAACTGCAAGATGCATTCTCACAGATACTTTTCTGGATTTTAAGTGTAGAATCACATAATCTTCTTAAAAAGTTGCCTTGAAAGGTGAAGTTTTGAGACACAGATATAAAAAGACAGGAGGGTCAGGGTTCAGAATAAAAAMAAAACATGATTTTCAGTATTTTCAACACCAAAACAAACCTGTATTACAGATCTTTGTAGCACTTTACAAAATGTACACTATATATATCTTATATATGTATATAGAACAGTATTGTTTCAGTCGCTAAGTTCTTCCTCATCACTGAAATAAGCACTTTTCTTAATCCGTGGACGTTTTGAATCATCTGAAATTGAAGCTTCCCCTGCAGTCTGTGTCCATCTTTGTTGTTCTTCCTCAATTTTGGCTTGCTATAATGAAGGAAGGAAAAGTATTAGCTGGGTTTAAAAAATACTAAGGACCATTATAAATAATAATGCAAATTATTAATATGCATTTAATTATTAAAAAAGTTAAAGAATTATAAGAGTTTATTTCCAGGTAAACTGTGTGATCAAAGCACTAGGAAACATTTCTGAAAGTAGTTCTCACATGCAAGCTGTCTTCTACACCATGGCAGGCAGCCTGGACTATCCTGTATTCTCAAAATAAGGAATTTTGCCCATGGCAAACTTCCAAAAACATAGAGCAGCTGAGATCTAAAGCAGAGGATGTCTCATGTTTTAAACTGATGTTCTTGAATCAGCTTTGTTCCACTAACAATTCTCCTATCYGCTGTCCTTTGCAGTCATTCATTCATATAATGAGTGCCTTTGGGGATTATTACTGAAGGTTATTTAACTAAAGGTTTAAATAGAAGCTCCCTATTTTTACCAGTTAAAATCCTTGGATGGTGATAGAAATTAGAATGTTTCCTGGCTTTGCAGGTTTTATTTTGAGTCGTGGAGTTTTGGGGAAAGGGAGGAAAATTGTGCATAATTGAATCATTTTTTGTATTACATCATGTAAAAATTCTGCACTCATTACAGTCATATTCAGAACGAAGTTATTAACTCCTGAGGGTTCTTTTGTAGGGTAGAGGCACACAAAGAACAGCTGTTGACCAGGGAGCCAAGAAATTTGAGCATCAGGTCAGGCTTGTTTTGTGTAGTGAAGCAAAAGGGTGCAAAGATAAAGAAGTAATAAAGACAGTAATATAGATGTCAGATAATCTATCTACATAACAAAATATGCACTCAGTATGTTTTGGGAGATGAGGTCTATTAGAGAATACGATGGCCTGTATCAGATAAAGGATGTGCCCCGGTAGTAAATGTTCAAGGACATTCCAGTGAGGGCAGAGGATGTGCCTGGTCACTTACACATGACTGTTTTTCTGTCTCCTCAGTTAACTAAGTAAAGRGGGATTTGTGGACAAAAATCTAGCATCGCAGCAGAGATGACAGAAGCAAACAGCAAAAGAGCTTGAAGGAAAGGAAAGGCTGCAACATACAAACACAGCAATAGTGAAAGACCAAAAAACCCAAACCTATTTCCACTGAACATGCCTGCAACGTAATGAAGCCAGCTATAGCTACCAACTATTGCTACCAAATGAGAGCCCACTGGGTGCWACAGAGCAGACAGACCTATGCATGTATATCAGAGCATTTGAAAAGGAGCTAAAGAAGGGAGCTGAGTTCAAAAAAATAATAATAACTATGCCACACTTTAATTTTGTACCTGAAAAGCTATGGCTTGGCTGAGGCTATCTAGAGCAGGGTCTTCTCCTTCCTCTTCACTTTCTTCTTCCTCCTCACTTCATTGTGCAGAGAGAGAAAAACACMGATTAACACTTAAAGTGTTTAGTATGAAAATGCTTCCTAAAAAAAAGTAGTAACATGTAACTAAATATACATACATTTCTTCCGGCTCAACTATTTTCTTTTTCTTCTTCTTTTCTTTTTTTTTTGGTGGCTCCCGCTCCCCTAGCATATTTTTAGGACAAGCGTAACTTAAGTGTCCTGCTTCCTTGGAGAAAAAGAAATATTGCTTAACAGAAGCCATTACAAACAACTGTACGTTAAAACATATCAGGAGGGAAGCTCATGGTGGAAAAAATGGAAGAAATTAGTGAGATAAATGGAATGCTGAACTACCACACAGAAGACAAACTTCTCTAGGCTTGCCATGGAAACCAAGAGATTGGTGCTGATATGCATGTTTAACTGCAAACTGAGAACAAGCTAGGAGCACAGGAGATTTCTTTGGCAGTTGCAATAGCTGAATACATTTTACATGGTTTATATTCAAGACAACATAGAAACCTCAGAATTAACAATTTAAGACACAGGAGTGAGGCTACATTTTTGCTGTAAGATCTGTTATGAATACAAATCAGTTTGTATGTGACATTAAATGCTATCCAAATCTCAATGTCCTACATTACTGCGCTCAGGAGAACTCAGGAATTAATTAAAATTTAAAACTCACTTCTATATAAAACAGCTGTTTCCTATATTTATTTTACTGCCAATTATATCATGAACTTCCAAAGATATAGCAAAAGCAGGTATTTTGAAGCAAAGAGTAGGAGRTTTTCATTGCAATTGTTTTCATCTGCATCACTTATCTTTCTTGGGTTTTATTTCTTAGTTACATTCATCTTCACTACCATCTACTATTATTACTAGTATTTAATATAATTTCAATTATTAAGCCATTCTTATCTCAACTGACAACTTTTCTCCACTTCTCTACATTTTTGATTTTACTCACCCCACATTCATAACACTTGGACTTATCAAAGTAGTTACGCCTGCGAATGAATTCTGCTGCTCTTCCATTATCAATGGCAATACTTGCTTTTATTACTCTTCCAAACAACTACAGAAAATCAGAAAGAAAAGGTAAATGCTTTGGGACTGAAAGCCCMACCCTCCTGCCATAAAAACTTTCCACAATTTACCTGTTTGTTATTAAGTGCCCGAGAACAGTTTTGTGCAGATTCTTTATCCAAAAACAAAATAAAGGCAACTCCTTTGCTCTTTCTGGTGTCTTTGTCTTTCATAATGGTAACTCTGGAAACATATAACCACATTATTGTTACACTAAAATTACTTCAGAGACATTTTTCCTTTAAGATCTCAGTGGAATCTCAGCTTTGTTATACAGCAAAAGGGTTCAACTATATTTAACAATAAAAATGTTCATTAAACAGAAATTCAAAGGAGCAGCTAACCTCGCCATGTGTTTAGAGGAGTGGAGATTATTTTAAAAAAGCATTTGTGAGGTCTTTCTCAGACCCGTATCACTCTTAATTCCCTTGGGTGTCTTTGGAACAGAACATCTTTTCATTTATAAGGAACCTAACTGGAGGGTACTACACGTACTGGAGGTAAAACGAAAATTCAGGAGTAATCTTACCATTGCTATTATTGGCAAAAAACCACAGCGTGAACTGCTTCCAAACTAAGAAATCTATGTTTGTGTAGAATTAATCAGCTAAATAGGTTAATTATAGAAAACACTAATTGTATGCAGTATTGGTCTACAAATATCTCCAACGGAAATCCAAGGATGGTAGATGCACATGTTATTTCACATGACATACAAAGTTAAATCTTCTGTCTAACATTGAAATCAACAGCTTCAATTGCACGTTGAGAGGTTCAGGAAAATCTAGAAACAGTAAAAAAAAAGGCCTGAAAGAAAAGAATTACAAGACAGGGCTAAGGGATGTGTATGGCAGGAACCCACACAACCTCAGTTCTTTCAGTCTTGATGTCAATTACATTTAGCCCTGAAAAAAACTAACACAACAAAAGTAAGAACCAGAATGGCAGTCTGCATGTACATAAAAATAAAAGTACATGTAAAAAAGTATGGAATACACTCCTGTGTTCAGCACAGGCAGAAAAAGTTTCAGCCATAAGGCCAGATAAAATTCTAAGAAGTAACCAAAAATACAAACCCCACTTCAATACAGGCAGCCTACCACACAACCTGTGTAAGTAACAGGTGACCTACACGGCAAAAAGTTATAAAATAAGAACACAGAAAAGAAAGCTCAAATTTCCCCAAATAGATAYACAATAAGGTTGAACTTACTACAGTTTTACTACCAAAGCCTCTTGGACTTGAATTAAGTTCAAGTGTAAATAAAACTGACTTTAAAACAATTCTATTAATTTTTTGCCAAGCTACGCTTTGGAGAATTCCAACAGAACCCTGGTATGACTGTCAAACTTTTAATTGGGATATCGAACATACCAGTTAATAACACAAGAATAGAAAGAATCAAGTGAGACAAATCTTAAAAATGTGAAGAATTTCTTGAAGTCAAGTCTGATTTCTTACTGAACAAACTGAGTTGAAATCATAATAGTCAGGATATATTGGCTTTTCCTGCTATTTGTTACCTGAAACAAAACTTCAAAAACTTCAAAAAACTTTGAAATTCTCTGTATCTCACAGATTATTGAAAGAATCATTAAAAGTTAGAGAAGRTATTTGCTGGTTTAGGATTAAAAACTGAAGATTTGAGTCTCCTTATTCTGACCAACTAAAAAAAAAAGTCAGTCAGTTCCTTACTGAGGCATTTCTTTGAATCATTTGAACACAGAGGCAGACATGCACATATGTTGTTCATGAATAACCCCCACACTGAAAGCCATTAATGTAGCCTTACATCTAGCTTTAAGTGAAACACTAAGTAATCACAATAACAAGTCCCTCTAGAATCAAAAGAGTATTGTACACTGCAGTTTTGGGAACTATGACATCTAGTTCACGTAAGAAGTTCCCACTTTGACACTTATCCACTGTGCCCCACATGTGGTTGTGGAAAGGGGAACAATACTCGCTAGAAGAACACTGTTTCAGCTATTTCAGAGAAAAAACTGATGGCATGTAACAACATTCTACTTGCTCTTAAGAAATGGTTAGSAAAACCTGTCCCCAACACAAATATTCTTGTATTATGTATATAACTGCAAGAACTTCCAGTTGTTAAATTAAAGTCATACTTTATTAAAAATGAACAGAACTTCAATACAGTTCCACATTATTACTTAAATTATAAAAAGCTCAAGACTTTCAAGTGAAGGAAAGACATAAAATATTTAAAGTGAGAAGTACAAAAATAGAGGGCCAAATCAGGTCACTTACTTGACAACTTTCCCATACTTGGAAAATATCTGAAATATAAAACAAAATTAAAAGATTTAACAACAGACAATTGAATTTCACTAGTAATAAATTTATCATGACAAACTTATATATAAATAGTATTGATTTTACAGTCAATACTGTCAACAGTTTTAATCTAAACAATGAGCTCTTAAAACTTACCCTGTACAGATCATTGTTTGTCAAAGCAAAGGGTAAATTTGACACATACACTGTGCTTTTGCTTGGCGCCAACCCACCACTCATTTTTCTGATGAAAGGAAAAAGAGAAAAGAGAAACTGTATTCAAAAAAAGAAATCAATCTAAAAACAGTTGCAAGACTTCAAATTTTATTTCAAACTTGCCCAGGCAGCCATGATAAAGTTGCAGGGGAGTGTAGCTTTCATTTCCCTTTCATAATTTTACATGAAAATTTGTGTTTGCCTTTACGGGCTACAAAAGACATACATTCCTTCCTCCTCTCCTGGATTTGAACATGTTCTTGTTCTATGTGAGTCGATTAGTAGTCATGAAAAAACAGACAAGTTAGTGTACTTACAGTAATCCTCTGCTCATCTGTGCAGTAAGAAAGGTTGAGTTACAAAAGAAACAAGCAATGTCCATTTATTAAACATTATGACCAACATGTGAAATTACTGACCTTTCTACCAGTACCTACATGATCTGATTCTTTATACAAGTATCAGTTCAGCTGCATTCAACATAGAATAAAATACAATTAAGGGGAAAAAAAGCAGCTTTCCTAAACAGGGCCCTAATTATTGTGGGGAGGGAGACAAATACATTTTTAAGTCAATGTAGTATGATGCTAAAACAGCATGCACKTCCTCTCTTAACTATTGCTCAGGTTTCTACACTCCTCTAGAACTGCATGCATCCAGAACTGACCATAAAACARCATATCCCCTAGAAGCACTCCCCTTTCTCCACCCAATTAAGCTGCTCTCTCCTGACAGAAAGCAGGAAAAATTAGAATCTTTCCATATTAATGTCCAATGTTTTGTATGCTCTTGAAACTGAGTATGTCTGGAAACAATGAATCAATTAAAAATTCTGTTACAACCACATATACATCATCTAATACTAGGTGAAGACTACTGATGAGTAACTGAATGAACTTGAGAATGAAGAGCTGATGTTCTTCACATTTAGACATTTCCCAAAATTTTAAGTGGAGCATGCAAAACACTCCCTTTGATCCATTCTRTACTCATGGTTCAGACCAAGAGCTAAATGAGTAAAATTTAGGCTCAAGGCATAGCCATTATAAAAGGCCACACCAAATAATACAGCCAAACTATTCCCCCCACAGTACAATTTCTACCTCCTTGTTCATTYTCCTACAGCCTTATTACTACTTCCTGGCACCTCTAGCCAATTCCCAATTGATGATCAAGCTGATTTCTTCAGCAAGACCAACAAATTATAAAAATGCAGACAAAAGCTGATGAAGGGATAAAAATCTAGAGTATTAAAATCAGCATCTGCCATATTACAGTTTCTTAGGGGACTTCTTGTATATCCATTCTGAACAGATTGCTTGGCCAAGTGCCAACAAAGTAACTAATATCACACTCTAATCCAGTTGATACTTCCTGGCATTTCATGATTCAGTTATCTGAAGGCCTGATATTCCCAGTAGACACTGATTATCCAAGTGCTTTGCATCTCTTTCTTGACATGCTTACTGTATCACAATTCATTTGAATGGCAGTTTCCAAGCGATTGAATTTTGAGGTTTTCCATGTTCAGAGACTGTTTTTTTGGCACGAGCGAAAATGGCAACAAAGGTTAAGCAAATGAAAACAGAATAAATTTGCAATAAAGGCCGCACATTACATCTGGTGTTACGCAGACTGGATTCATTATCCCAAATTCCTTTCTGCTTGGCATTAGTATCCTTGACAAGCCTAACCAGACCGACTTGGCAAAATGCCACGTGAATAGATGACCTGAAGTGCAGTTATCCAGATGTACAGTGGATAGAAGGATTCAGGAAGAGGGATCTCAACGCTGCAGTACAGTTTTTTGCCAGTGCCAATACATTGCAGCAGTGGAAGAGAAAACAGCAGGGGTGAACCTCAAAGGTCTGAAGACAGACTGCACTCTGCCTAAAAGGCAAGAGAAGCTGGAGCACCTTGTAACAGCAGACCAAGCAACCCCCATCTTAATGGGCAGGCACCAGGGAGAACGGCATGACTAGAGAGCAGTCAGTCTGCATGTTCCACAATGCCACAGTGAAAACCTCCACAGACAAAGCGATACATTAGGTGGAGTTTACTACTGGACTAACAGTTCAGTTATTAGGAAATTATTAATAAATGCAGCCTATAGAACCATCATTTTCAGCTGCATACTGCTTTTTCCTGAAGAAGCTGAAGGAGTTGAACCCTGGAGCAMTGGCTGCTAGACAGCTGAGGTTGAATATTGCTTCTGCTCCCCTGGACAAATTTAAGCTTAAGAGTTTTGCTGCTACAACTGTGCCCAAATATGCTTAGCAATTTGTATTGTTTAGGACTGTTGCACAAGTATTTCTTAATGTCTGACTCACAAGTTAATAGAAGAGGGAGTACAGTAACTGTATGGTTTTCACCATTTATTATCTGATGTTTTCTAGTGGGAGGAGTAAAAAAAGCCACTTCCAGGTTTAAACTAACTTTCTAGAAAAGATGTCATCTGGAGGCCCATTGTTACAAGGTTGAGAGCCCTTCTACTTCAGAATTTTTTTAACTGCATGGAACTGTCCAGTGTAAGTTTAACRTTTTCATAACATTCTTTCTCCTTGATTAGCAGCCTCTCTGCTCAGCTGACAAGAAAAAAAGTAAATACCCCCTTCTCTCACAAAAAAAAACTCAAACCAACCAAAAAACATCAGAGCTCTCTTCCTGCTGCAGGAGACTCACTTGAAAGTCTTGTACAGCCTGGTTTCTAYATGTTGCTAAAGCTTTCCAACAAATCAAAACATTTCTATTTTATCCTGGATGTTTTTATGGGGCTTTCTTGATCTTCAAGATATTACCTGGTTAGTTGACTTTAAAGCATTGGCTAAAAGCCTGTACAATATTTCCACAAAATTGAGCACAATTCCCATTAATGTAATAGCCTCTCTGTAATATTAATGACTCCTTCATTTATCATTTTCACATATTAACTTTGACAATAGAGTTATGTCTCATTACAATGACTTCTTGAATTCAATCTTTTTTGTCTTTTCTAACAACTGAAAGAGCCATCTGTCAGCAATGATTAAGTCTCCTGAAAAATAGATCAGGTAYATGAATATGTTTTGCTTGAATCCAATATACTTAATCCAGCATCTGTCACTAGCATTGGGGATACCACAAAAAGACAATGATTAATTTCAGTAATTGGCTTTTCTACTCTACCCAGAATACATAAGGACACCACCAAAACAATTCAGATGCCTCTGAACCATCAAGTGAAGCCTAAATTTGCTGATATTTYCATGACTTAAAATTGGTATTTCAACTTAAAAGCACAAACTTGAATGTATGTTTTTAAGTGCAGAACAAAAAGGTCAGATTTATGATCTAATCAACTGAAGTATGCATAAATGTTTTGTGAGCTAGTTTCTCAAGACACTCCCACTCTGGCTAAATAATTAGAGTTTTTCTATCTCAAACGTCAAAGCAGCATATTTTATTCCTGATTTAAAAGTGTCAACAGAGTTTAGACTCAAATCAACAGGATTCACAGTGCATTCACAGTGTTCGCTGAGACTTTATAGTGWATGAAGATGATACAACAGTGCTTTACTCAAATGTACAATACCAACAGAAGCAAGGAGTGCTCTGGAAGCCAGGGTCTGGGCTGTCTTCCTTCACCTCGACTTAGAGAGACCCAGGGCCCTCAGAAGTTCATCATTCCTATGTACCATTTCGCCCACACTCCAAAGGGAAAGACCATAAAAGCTTTTCCAAAAGCGTTTTTTTAAAGGGATTCCCAGCACAGCCAAGATGGGAGAAGAGCTGCTTGGTTCAATCTCATCTGGTCTCAGCCAGAACGTCACACAAGAGGGGCAGATCTGGGTAATTCACTTCGAGACGGCCTTTCCTCCTCAAATCACGAGATTTCTGAATCTAATTGAGAAGTCAGTGCGTGCAAAGCGACATTAAAGCATCAAAATCACAGACTGCTCAGGAACTTCTACACGCTGGATTAACACTTTTGGCSACAACATCACCGTGCGGTTCCTTTACTACAGCGCGGCCCCGACCCGCTGCTTATKGCGTCCCTGTCTATCCCGCAAAGGCCCGAAACGAGCGCGCTGCGAAGGAGCGCTCCCAACACCCGCCGTGCCCGCGCCCCGGCCTACCCGTCTCGGCGGCACTCAGCCCGTGCGGGAGCCCATCGTGCGCCGCGGCCCGGGAGATGGCAGCTGCGGTCCCGCGGGACGGCAGGGCCCGGGATGGGACAGCCCGGACACAGGGCTCCCTGTTCTCCGGCTCCCTGCTCTCCGGCTCCCTGCTCTCCGGCTCCCTGCTCTCCTGCTCGCCGCCGCCCCGCCCGTCGCGCTTCCGCCGACGCGCAGCTCCCGGCGCGGCCGCGGCCAATGGGCGGCGGGCCCGACTGCGCGCGGAGTTTCCGCCGACGCCTGGGGAGCGCCGGAAGCGGCGGTGGAGGTGCGAGGCGGGAGCGGAGCTGCCGCGCCGCGGGAGTGGGAGGCGAGTGAGCGGCGGGGCCGGGCGGGGGCCGAGCCGAGCCGAGCCGGGTTGGGCTTTGGCCGCCTTCCTGCGCGGAGCCAGCGCGGGGCGGGGCCGGGGCCGGAGCCGGAGCCGGAGCCGATCCCCTGGCCCGCGGCTGCGGGCTCTGCTCCGGGCGGGGCGCCCCGGGGCCGCTCCCTGCTCCCTCTGCCAGCACGTGCTCGGGAAGCGCGGGGCGTCTGTCCCGGGAAGGGAACCCTGGAACGTAGAGCGCCCGTCCCTCGCTGCGGCGGGACCGAGCCCCAGTGGCGTCGGGAGCTCCGTGGAGCCGGACTGCCAAAGGCTGGGGTGAATGCAAGTGGCGGGACAGGAGCCGTGGGCAGGACGGTCTCGTCTGAGCCGAGGTGGCTTGTGAACATTATAATTTRACCCTCTTTAAAACTCGTATGTGATGGGAGACTTTCGTTCTCAGTTTAATTTGTGTATTTGTTTTGAAGAGAAGGTTCTTCCTACTTGTACATCATCTGAGAGTTATTTTAAGCATTAATAATTTGTAATSGATGTTTGGAGGCTGTAAAAATGCCATTGTAAACACCTTCATTGGCATGGTCTGGTGGGTAGGTTGGTGCAGGATCAGTATCCTTATTGCTCCTAGAGGGATAAATAAGACATCAGTGTGTCACTCAGCTCATTTCCTAGTAAGTGCTAGAATAAATGAGAATAAATCTCTGTGATTAGTTTAACGATAGGATATGCTATAATAGTTAAAGTCCTTACTAGTATTTAAGCATCTCAAGACTACTCTTGATGGTTCTTTATTTTCACTCATACTTAAGSCATATTCCTTAAGTAGGCTCTTTCCCAYCCATTAGAGTTTTCAAGGATAGTCTRTGAATACTTTATCTGGAGTATCTGTGCCTTCAAGGGAGCAAAGACAGAAATACAGAAAAAGATGTGGAAACCCACATGATCAGTGGCCACAGTTTGGATACAGTGATTTGCACTAGGTGAAGTGCTATAGGYTGGTTGGTACTTTCAATTTTTGAGAGCTCTATGGTTTTGACGTTTTTGACTATTGTGGTTATGGCAGCAGCATGGAGAGCTGCCATATTTTGTTGTCAAAGTGTTTGTGCTGCAGAATGGAAAGCCATGGAAGCAGTGGTAATCCATACAGTTGTTTGCAGTGGTGTTGCTGGCATAGCAGCCACATCACAGCCTGGTAGAATGTGCTTTTCATGGCACTGATGATGGACAGGTCAGTAACTGCAGGTGGTCAAGCAAAGATAAATGCTAATACATCAGTCATTCTATTAAAACAACTGCAAATGCATTGCTTMCATTTCTCTTGTCCCAGTGATGTAATGATGCACTGAAAAAGTAGAACTGGTGGGATTGTAAATCCTCATTGGAATTCTGCTKCTTTTAATAATTTTATTATTCAGTGTACATATGCTTGTGTTATTTTTTCTCTTGAGATGTGAATTAATTTGACCTTTTGGTCCGTGATTTTTTAAAATAATTTTTTCCCTCATTTTAAAGTCAAAATTATTGTTAATGGATTGGGAAAGGTTGAAAGAAAGCCTCTTCCGTCAGGTTATTTGATATCTAGGTGAACACCCCTAAACATGTTGCAGTCATACTTGTAATTGCTTTTGAAAACCCTACAGCCTAATATTTGCTATGAGCAGTGGCAGATTGTCTTTAAATCTGTTTTTCCTTAGTACCTCTCACATTATTTTATTTCCTGATGTGATGGATTTTCCCTCTGCTTTTACACTTCTGTTTTTTCATTTTACCAGTASGACTGTGTCTGTTTAGTGTGTTCTACCTGTCCCAGGTATGAGGGTAAGATTAGAAAGTTACTTTGTTTCCCAAACCCAGTTTTATCTGTCTTGCCTGCTGTCTAGGTAAGAGATACTGGGATGTCTTTGAAGCATTATTGAATACAGAGTCTAATTGTTGGAAGATAAAACAATGTTTTCTGTGTGTCTTTATGTTCTCACAGCAGGAGTCATTGCAAGTTTTATAGTGATATTGCTAATAAGTTACATCTGTCCTAGATCTTACTTGTAGAGAAGCRTTTGAGCTTTTCTTGAGACCTTTTCAAAGTAGGGGGGAAACAGAATTGGCTCACATTTGTCAGTCTTTGCTGTTTGTCAGAGTAATTTTATAAAGCCAGATATATCCCAGTGGCATGGGAGGCACTTCAGCTGCCTGTCTCTGCGTTGGCAGCACAGCATTGTTTTTATGCTCTGTTCACATATGGCGAAATGTATCCATCTGGATTAGGAAGCCATATGTTTTGAAAACAAAAATGTAGATTCTGCAGAAGATGATAGCACACAGTAGATAAGAATCCTGGAGAAGTAGATACTTCTAACCTTAGTGAAAATTGATGTCTCAAGTAAGTGCAAGCAGACAAGACTTGTGTACAAAATGTTTTAAAATACTGGAGTGCTTTTGCAAATGCAAAATCAGGAATTTTTAACACTTATTATTTAGAAAGCAAAAAAGAATAGAAATTTAATGATTGTTAGATTAAGAAAGCTCAGTGGTACAAAAAATCTGAAGTGACCTGTGTAGTGTGCTCGATGAAGAAACCTTTGTTATATTGCACCAGTTATATTAGCATAGAGCACAACACAGTGCTGTGATAATTGGAGTRAAGCCATTCTTGATGGCGGCCACAGTAGAGCAGCTTGTGTTGTGTTAATAGAATGGCTTCTGCACTTACGGAATGTGTTTATTTGAGAGAATAAAGACTTTGCCTTAGGTAAAATAGTTACCTCTGAGCAAAAGTAGGAAGAGATTGTTTAAATTAACATAGCAAGTGATTATATATCATTATATTACAGAAATAACTGCTTTTCCTCTTGTTGTGGGTTAAGGCCTTAACCCACAGCAGCTGTACATGCTAATAGAAAATTGTCAATAAGTATGCATGATAATGTTAGGCATGAAACAAAATCAGATTTTTTTTTAATCTTTGTTTTGCAACAGCTTTGTACCTACTGAGAACAGATGATTCCAAATACAGCATAATAAACTGGMGGTTTGAGCTCTTGAGTCTTTGTTGATGGAATCTGCTGATACTGATCCTAAGAGTTTGGACTCACTGTGGTTATTATTAAAGCTGTGTCAGGTCACGTAATTTCAAAAAATAGGTTGCTTTCTTTTTCTGTGGAAACATAAAAAGTGCTCAAGATGCTGGGATATGCATTTTCCTCCCTTTAAACTTTTTTTTTTCTTTTAGTGTTTTCAAATACATCCTTATTTTATCTCATTGGTCTCAGCTAAGATTTGTTTTGTCTTCTGTATAGAATTAGTCTTCTTCTCCTACTTGTTCACCTTGCCAGCATTTTAAGCCCTGTACTTGATGGTTCTTTCTGCCTGGTTAACTTCCTTCATTTCGTTCCTCTAAATGCAAATGAGATTTTTCTTCCACCTGCATAGTTGCTTGTTTGGTATATATTGTTTTTTGTTAATCTGTTGACATCTGTGATAGTGTATCTGTACCTTTTTTCCAGCTTGTATTTTTGTTTTTGTCAAAACATTGATGTTAATTCTTGCTCATTTCAGTGAGGTCCAACATTGATATAAAAAAGGRAGTGTTTTTATCAGCCTTGCTGCCTGATAATGTAATGGAGTGTAGTGATGTGTGTTGGGATGTCGGAGGTGGTTTGACTGGTTTGACTGACAGAGCAGCATGAGGTGTAAGTTTGCACTCAGCTTCAGTAGCGCTTATCTGAGCTGCGTTGCTTTTTGAACATTGTGTTCACTTAACAGTTTCAGTAACTTTTGCAGGAAGCAGGGCAGGGCTGCTACTGTCTTTGTCAAAATGGAAAAAAATGCAGCCCACTTGAAAACCTTATCTGAGTTCATCTGCTAATTGCTATTGGTCTAAAAAACTGAGGGTTGGCATCAAGTACCTCAGTCTCTGTGCGTGTGAGAGGTGGGTGGGCTGTGGATGAGCAGGGCGGGGAGGGGGTGCTTTGGGCAGCTCAGATGCTTCCCGGCTGTGGGCAAGGATGGATACAAGGAATGGTCCACCATGGGGCAAGGGCTGGGCATGAGGGATAGGGGTCAAGTGTTTCAGGACAGAGCACAGTGATGCCTTTTCAGCATAATGATTTTGTCTTACCTTAGCAAATTCTGTCCCTCCCAGTACATGAAAACACAGGAGTGTTGAAATACTGTACTGGGCACAAAGAAAAGAGGACTGTGGGGACAGCATAAGAGCAGATAGAGGACCCTCCTGGTAGTGTGGGAAGGAGGGCACAGGCTTGCCCTAAGAACTCTTCATGCACATATAGCCCTGGTGCGAATTTTGAAGGCTTTAGCAAAAGTCAGTGAAGTACAGAATAAAGAGAAGTTGAGGCAGTTACTGTGAAAGTGCCAGGAAAGTGCTTCTGATGATGTCCCTGGCCATCCAATGCAGCAACATGAGCAGAGTTTTCTGAATTAGTAACTCTTACATGGAGTTTGCTGGAGATGGCAGGGCAGTGGATCCTCTCGCTTTTATGCTTGCCAAAAGGATCAGTGGCTTGGTTTAGTCAGTTTTTGATTTATAATCTGTAGCTACATCAGACTAGTTCTGCGTCTTGGTTATAGAACAAACTTAAGGTCAAATCTGTTGTAAAATGGAACCATATTTTAGGAAGATTTCACTTGAACCAATGCGAAGGTCAAAATCTCTGAACACAGATGCATCTTATTGTTGAGGAAAGAGCTTCTTTGTCGTGATTTACTGTCTTTTACTAAAAGAAAAGCCTTTGTTAAATCAAGCTTTTCTTTAGCCTCTCATCACCTGCACCTGAAACTTATTTTTCTTTGCAAAGACAGATCACAGGGTACAGGTGGTTAAAACACTTAGATTTTACCTGTTTTACTTAACAGAAAAAATTATTATGATGAATATATATGCATTTTTTGCTAACCTCAGATTTTTTTTTTTTAGTTAAGTGAATGGATCTTCAGAAGCAGATTTGTTAAAACTGACAAAACAGTAAGTATGTGTTATATTTTGCTAATGTACATCTGATTTAGTGCTACTTATGTTTAGAGTTAATAAACCCTTTTGTCATGTTGATTCTTAGCATCTTTACTAATCAATGTTTTTATATAGCCTCATAAGTCTATTTCCAGTAAAGTGTTTTTACTTTGTGCAAGTAGGTGATGTCATGTATTTCTCGTTCTGAATATGACCTGCTCTTACTTTTTCTTATTGACCGTTTCTAACAGCTAGAGCTACTATTGTGATGGGAAGGTTTGAAAAGTATAATTCTAGCAATTGCTTATCTACTTTTGATGTTGTATAGTAGATAATTTGTCACCTTTATAATCAGCAGAATGGTTTGACCTCAAGTCTGTTGTCTACCATAGTATGACTAGAATCTCTTAGGATGATGGTTTATTTCCACCTGTCTTTAATGACTAATTTTGATTTTGAAAGTCACCTTCCTCTGGAAAGAGGTATTTTTTTTTCTGCTGGCTTGCAATTTAAAACAGGAAGTATCTGTATGTGAAGAATGTGTTCTGTTCATGTAATCAAAATGCAGGGCTTTGTACTAAGAAATCATGTGCTGCATTTTGATCTCTTTCCAGATAGTTGAGCTGATGAATTAATTCAAAGTTATTATATTAAAAAGTAGAAATTATTTCATCTAATGAATAGGCGTTGAACTACTTTTTTAAAAAAGTTCCAGTGTTTTTAGCAGAGCAGTGTCAAAATTGCTGTAAGGTATGTGTGTATTCATTTACATATACATGCAGTATTTGCAATATGCATATATTTCTATAGAGCTGTTTATACTATCTCTTAAGTCCTGTAACTTTACAGATTATACTGTGCTTATTTCCAGTTGTTCAGTTGTTCTTGCCCATACTGTTACTTTTGCTCCAAGTATATTAATTACTTTCTATAACCAGAAAGAGTTATTTTAAAAGGCTAATAATAAGAAGTGTATGTACAGGGCTTGTGCATAATACCTTTCATTGTACAAATCAAGGAGCCTTTGTTTTTCTGCTCACTAGCCTTTTGTCTATTCATAATGAGTCTGGTTTTCATGAGTTGTATTTTTATTATCTTTAGTGGCATATCGAAGAGATGAAATGTGGTCTGAAGGCCGATACGACTATGAAAGAGTTCCAAGAGAACGTCTCCCTCCAAGGATTCATGGTGATGTAAGTGTATAGTAAGCATAATAGCATTATACTATACTTTTATACAGTGACTTGTACAATAAGGGCTGGATTTATGTATCTCTGTAAGTTCCCAGTATACCCCAAGTTCTTTTCCCATTCTTTGAAGCCAACAATGAAGCAAATGCATCTGCACAGAGATAATAGGATGCCTACAGAATTAAGTCTTGGCTACTTTTTTCTTGCTTTCAAGTTTGTTTGAGCTGTTTTAGAATATTTGTATTTTGATAAACTGATTCTTTTGGTGTAATGCTTTGTGTTATTAAACACAGGTTTTTTTATGACTTCTAGAGAACAAAAGGCCATATGAGGTCATATTTTTCCACAGTTTTTTATGTTGATACTTCTTTTAAGTAATTTGAGGTGGTAAAGGAGCTACTTCCATAATTCTTCTTTTCACCAACATAGTTTTTTGTTAAGATAGTTAAAGTATAGAAGGAGATGTACTTTCAACATTTGTTATAAACATCTTTGCTAAAGTTGTGCTTTGGAGCCTTGCAAGGGAAACATTTTACAAGAAGAGTGTCAATGGAAATCTACCTTGTAGGTACTGTCTTCTGTGATATGTATGTATGTGATACTTGTAAAAGGAAATTCAGAAGCTGTGCTTATTCTGCTGTAGAATAACTTCAGAATGCTTTTAGGAGATGTCTGTTCCCAAGAGTAATTTTTTTTCTGCTTTGTCTGAAGTCTCTAACAAAGAAATAAAATGGAATGTAGCTTTGTCTTTGGTGGTATTACACCTTAAATAGAATTTTAACAATACTTGATATTTCTGCTTATGTCCTATGCAATGTGCAGTTCACTTTTGCAGCTGTGCAATTTGTACTTAATAAACAAAGAATTTCTTTAATTGGCAAACCGTGTATGACATGTTATTTGAAGGAAATAAACTAATTTTGTGTTCGAGCAATAAGCTGCCTGAAATTTGCACTAAAAGAAAAACTAAGAGTGTTAAAATTCTGTCACTTGAATCCTCAGATTACGTACTACTGCATTGTTTCAGTGTGTGCTTATCTATTCAGATTATGAAGCAAGTTCTGTTTTAGCTACAGTCTCTGGAGTGTGGAGGAGGTTATGAACTTCAGGAAAATTGTTAGTATTTTCAAATGGGCTCTTTGTTCTACAGGCATTACAGGTGTAACTTTCTTCGTTGCATTCCAAAGTTAATATTAAAGTCTGAGAGGTACGTGTAGCTAACTGATGCTCAGAAAGTAGCTAATTCTACTGCTATAAACTTTTGAAAGATGATTAAACCATGTTGAAACTTTTCCCTCTATAATTAAACTTATAATGCCTAATGTTTTTAATATGAGTGGTGTCCAATTAGATTTAGTAAGTTATTCCCCTGTCCAACTGGCATGGTTTTTAATGTTTGCTGTTTCCCTGTGTGAATTCTTCTTTTAAGATTAAGTCCTGTGTTTAGAAATAACTTGATTTTACTTTAGTTCACTCRTTACAGATTTTCAGCTGTTAAAAACAATATGATTTTGTCTGTTTTGTGGTTTAGAGTGATTACCACAGAATAGTAAACGTTGTGCCCAAGAAACCACCTCTGCTTGAGAGACCTGGGGATGGAAATTACAGTCGCTATGACAATTATGGTCACGCTGAGTACAGAGACTATGACGAGGGTCGTGGTTTTGCCCATGACCGAAGAAGTGGACCTCCACACCGAGGTGTACGTAAGGTGATTCTTCTCACATGTTTATGATGTTTATTTTACCATTAATGCTTGAATAATTGATAATTACTGTAATCATTGTTGCTCCCTGCAACCCAGCTGTTGAAATTCTGTAATTTCAAGCTGCTGCTGGTAATTTATATTTTAAAGAGGAAGTTCTCCTTTAAGTTGGAGCATATATATATGGTTTGGAAACTTTTGTAGTTTTTGTATTTTGTATAGCATTGCAAAGTTCAATGCTGTCACAGAGAGAAAATAAGAGTAATGGGGTACAGTGAATAAAATGAGAAGGTAMTTGCTGTGAGGATTAATTTTTTTAGCTCATTCAAGTCTTTGGTTTTGCTGTATTGAAGTACCATTTGGCAGCTAACTGTACCTGGCATCTGCTGTTGAGATACATGTCACACAGTTGTTTTGCATGTATGTTTTTCAGGATGAATCAGGATACAGATGGGCAAGGGATGGTCATCCTCCAAGACCTGAATACAGGTATTTTTTCACTCTAGCAGTGCCATGCACAGGCTTCAAATACTTAGGGCATTTACTTTGTTTTCAAAACAGTTGGTGGAGCAGACCAGTGAAATAACAGGAAAAAGACAGCTGTTGAAGTAAAAGGCAATAGTGGAAAAACGTTTTTTAGTTGTATGGTTTGAAATAGAAATGAAAGAAATTATATGATATGCAAGTCTCTATTTTAGTATTTATTTAGTAAGGATAGGCGACAAAATGCTATCATCTTCAGGATGATAAACTGGAAGGGTAAGTAATTTAATGTGTCTCTGATCAGTCACACTTCTTACATGATTTCGGAGAATTCTTTGGTGTTTTACTTGGTTCTGTGAGTGTGGTATATTGGGGCCCCAATATAATTATATCTGTGCCATTTTAATGGTTGTTGGGATGGATAATGTAATTATGAAGTTCACAGCCTTGCTTTGAGCTCACTATTTTCTTAGCTGAACTGATGAGTATATATTTCCATCATGTGTTGTATTAATTTCTATGAACCCTTCTTAGTCTGTAGCTCAGGTTCCCATTTATGAAATGTAAGGAATAGTATTGAGTCATAGGGCTGTAAATATACATATGCCTGCAATGATGTTTAATATGGGATTATTTGAGTTAGCAAATGAAGTGCACAGGATAGTGTTACACTCCACGTTTGTGGACAAGGATGAAACTCACCCAAAATATTTACATAAGAATTTATTGTTAGTATAGCTGGAATATTAGGAGCCTGATCTAAGAATGACATCTCATGGCTGTGGTTTTATATGCCACATCCTTTGTTTCCCCTCCTCGAGATGTCTGTTATACATTTGTATATATTGCATCATGGGATATTATTGTAGTACCATAGAATAACTCCTTATTACTGCTATACATTTAAAACTATGGTTGTACCATACAAAGATCAAAAAAGGTAAACCACRTTAGCTATAGACTCCTGGTCAGTTAAAAAAATTGCTGTTAAACCAGCAGCAAGTTGAAACAGAAGACTGCAAGCAGGTCAGGAAAAGCTCAGGCAGAGCAAGCCTGACAAGCTTGCTCAAGGCCTTAGTCTTGTGGTGTTACAAAGTCAGAATGAAGCTGTTTGTAGCAATATCCATACCGGGCCACACATCCATTGCATGTAATGATTTATACATAACATAGATTCTATAACCTCACCATAAAAGAAATCCTTCATATATCGTAAGGGTCTGTGTGCAATAGACTTCTTTCTGAATTGCATTCTTGGAGCTAGAAGCAATAATAAATAGTTTTGAAAAGGAGTGTTCAATAAAAAACTTGTGTAAAAATTCTTCAGTCTTCTCAGTTGAGAGGGGAGTTTTTAAAGCTGAGGAAAATCTAAAAAGACTGAGTTAGTGTCTGGCAGTTCGTTGTAGACAGAACAAGAGTGGCACCCAGTGGTCAAAATGATTGTCTTAAATGCATCCTGATTTCTCCCTTTTAAAATGTATAGTGAAAATGTTAGCTCATTTTGTGGAAGGCTTTAGAAGTGTATTGTGTGGTATATGATAGTCCCATCTGAATCTTTATTAGACACCTCAGACTATATAACTGTTACAAAACTGCAGTAATGCTGTGGAAAAACTTCATAAAGATCCATGGTTCAGTTGAGTATCTGGGAATATATTTGCAATTGAATGAAACCCTACTGCTTTATTATTTAAATGTAGTCAATAATGTTGAAAGTAAAATCTTGTGATCAGACTGTAAGTGTTTGTAGTGTTCCATGTTTGTAATAAACTTAATTATGATTTTTTGCGTATTGCCCACTATTGAGCAATGTAGTGGATCTCAACAGAGGAAATCAAAGTACATTTCTTGGTGTATGTYGTCTCCTGTGGTGAAAGTGCTAATTACTTTCCATTTCAAAGACATTTGCTCTACAAAACACGATATTAAAAAGTTATTTTATGAAAAAAGCCTTCTCTTTGGATATGCTTAAAGCTATTTTAGGTAAGTTCTTCTGGAGCACATATAATTTTATTTTGTTGGAGGTAATAGAAACAGGTTCAAGATTATTTTATCCAGAAAGATTATAAAAAAGTTGCGTGGAACATGGCTAAAGTGTAGTTAGAAGCTAGAGAGTCAGGACACTTGTATGGTTGAATGGTTTTCATTGACTGTAAATTTACATGACTGTAAATTCTTTAAAATAATAGCTTGTATATTGACAGAAATAATGACTTTCTTGAGTATTTTTTGAAAACTCAATTAGCAGCTAAAAATGTGCCATGGAAAGTTGTTGTCAATGTGATGTTAACATTTCCTTTTGAGCATTCATCATTCACATTTTCCTACTTTGGTTTTGACAACAGAACTGTCAAACAGTACTTTCTGGTATATTTGCATTTTTCTTCCCTGTGTCATGATTTGGAGTGCTGAAAAACATTACTTGAGATTCTCCCAAAATAAAATGCTGCTTATCTGCAATATCAGAAGTCCTTAAATGAGTCCTGTGTGCGGTTTTGGGCACCTCATCAAGAGAAACATATCAATCTGTCAGAAGGTGTCCGAAGGAGGGCAACAAAGATGGTGTAGGGGCTTGAGGAGAAGCCACATGAGGAGCAGCTGAGGTGTCTTGGTCTGTTCAGCCTGGAGGAGACTRAGGGGAGACCTCAGTGCAATTACAACCTCCTTGTGAGGAGAAGAGGAGGGGCAGACATTGATGATTCTCAATCTTCACCCCTCATGACAGTGATGGGACCCAATGGAATGGCCTGAAGTTATCAGGGTAGGTAGGATTAGTTTGCATATCAGGAAAATGTTCTTCACCCAGAGGGTGATTAGGCACTGGAACAGGCTCCCCAGGGAGGTGTTCACAGCATCAGCCTGACAACAGTTTAAGAAGTGTTTGAACAATGCTTTCAGACATGTGAACACTAGAAGTGATTCTTGGGGTTGTCTTGTGCAGGGCCAGGAGTCAGACTTTAATGATCCCTATGAGTCCCTTCCAAATCAAGTTCTGTGATTCTCTGAAACTTTGCTGTTGAAGAAACCAGCTGTTAGGTATTTTTTGTATTTTTTTTCCTGTTGTTTGTTTGGTGATATTTTGTTGGGGTTTTTTAAAGCTTCTTGCCTTTTTCTTAAAAATAGGAAGTGCTTGTTTACTTAGCATTAGTGGAGCTGTGGTTTCAGCTGTGATGTGTCTAATKACCAGTAGCAGTTCTCCATGAATGACTAGAGGATTGCTGAGCTTCTRCCACATGGCTTAGCTTTTTTCCTTGTCTTCCTTGTTGTAGGGTTATGCTCCAGTTTCCAAGCAGCTGTCATTTACGTGGTAGACATTGTCATGTCTAGCACTGAGTGGAGCATTACTATTCCTTCTGATATTTTCTGGACCACATGCTTCTTGAGAGTTGTTAGACCTGTTCTATACTGTACGTAGTGAACAGCTGTCATCTTGGCCATGACTTCTTTGTAGCACAGATATATATTTTGCATGTTAAAAATGAAGTGTTTCAGAGGATGTCCAGGGCAGAGATTTCAAAATGAGTTCCCAGGTCTTTTTCTCCTGTGGTTACCTAAGAAATTCTGAACTCTAGGAAAAGATGTGAATTTTGTTGTAGCTTGATTTGAAGTGTCTCATGGTTCAAATGCAGTTGGCATATATAAATAATTGTACATCATAGTTCGGAGAAAAATTTCTGCACACATGGCAGTTTTAATGTCTTGGTTGCTGATGCTAYGAGATTTGTGAGACTTAGAATTTGAAAGGAGCAGAGATCAATTAARATGTGACTTCTCTGTATATCTTTTACTGATGTTGATAATTTTTCTGGGGATGTGTTACTGCTTGTCTTCAGAAATATATTAAGCTGATTTATGCAAAGCACTCATGCATGCCAGAATTTAAAAAAGTTGCAGTATTGCATATAACTTCTGTTATATGTTGAAGGATTCTAGTTTTGCAGTACTTCTCTGTGGGCCTCATAGCAATGGATTTCATATCCAAGTTCATYTTTGTAAGGTCAGATGAATTTTCCAGTGTGAAATGCTTTAGAAGATTGTTAGCTGCTGTTCACTTTAGTCATGCCAAATTTTAATCCTTTTGAGTGCACAGAGCATTACTTCATTCTTTTTTTTTACCAACCAAACTGAGTTCACAAGATGTGAAATATATGAAACTTGGCAACTTAAGATGGGTAAGACTCATCTTCAAAGAGAAATTACAAAATGACGCACTTGTAAATCCCAGCTACACATGCATTAAATTTGATCCTTAGAATTATCTGAGGCCCACATTTTTGTAAAACAAGGATTGCCATATTTGTAGAATAAGTACTCTGCATCAGTAGTAATACTGGTTTATGTAGACTCCTGACAAATGGCTTACATAGGAGGTTTTTAATATCTCCCCTCCAGCTGTATATATGAATAATTTTTCCTTTGTTGATGAAGGAAACTTGTTGCTATAATTTATGTTGTTTATTGTTTATTGGTTGGGTTTTTCTCCCGTGTTCTAAAGGAAATTAGGAAGTAGTTTTAGTCCAGTCCTTAATACTAACGCATTTRTCTATGTAACCCGAACCTGCTTATCACGTGGAGTGCTCAGGAAATATTTTGTAAGAAATGGAAATAATGAAGTAATTTTGGTGCTAGAAATGAGAGAAAACTGTCTGACAAAACACAGACATTCAATTGTAAACAATTTGTGATCTGTGAACAGCTGAGATTCATCAGTCAGTTCTATGTTTTGGAAGTATTTTGTATCAATAGCTTCTTGTCTTACTCTGAAATTTGTATGTGTTTTTCTGGACATTAAACTTGCAATTACCACTTTAGGGTGGTAAAGCACAATATATCTTGATTTKTGTAGATGCGTTCCCCTTCACAGTGAGACTTTGTGTACTGAAGGCCATGGAGAAAATTGGTTGCCAAGTGGGGTATAGAAGCTCAGCAATCGTGGCTTTTTGATCTCTGCTTGAACTATCCTTCCATTTAGTGATTAACCCCTTGTAAGTGCACAAAGTGATGAC